TATCTAGGTTGCAACAGTGTCCCAAAATTTGTCGATTTGGGTGGAAAGCGACATCCAAATGAAAATAATTTTCCACTCTCACTTCCATTTTTTTAGGATAATTTTCCACTCCCAATTTTTCACTCAGAAATCAATTCTCAGGACAAGTAGGCCAACAGTTAATTGAAACTAACGTCAACTATGCTAGTTTACCATCCCCACATTTGGGTGTGAACCATCAACCACTCATCAATCATCCTCTCCTCCTCCCGGCTCTCCTCCACCAACGTGTGCGTGAACCTGGGGCGGGTGTGTGTGCGTGCGTGTGCGAGACGTCACCAGTGATTTTAATTGATTTTAATTTTTAATATGGTGTACCGGAGTGTTGACGGTGGACCGTGAGTGTTGAGAGCGGCTGCAGTGCCGTACCGTAGTGCTGTGGTTCATTGCATAGCTGTTCACGGGCTGCACGACTGAGCCGTCCCACGACCGACATCTCCAAGACCTAATTCACATTGGTGTCGTCACCATGTTCGACCTTCTCTTCAGCCTTCTTCTGTTGCTAAACACCCTGCAACTACTGCGAGCTGCAACACCGGCCCCCGACCCGTGGCGGCGTACCGCTAGCTCGTCCGGCGCGCCGGCGCCTTCCCCTCGGCCGGCCGCTCCGCTGCCGCCCCGAGTCCGGTGTGTATATACCGCCGCTCAGGCCGTCCGTGCCCCGAGGGTCCGACCTGTCAAGCGGGGTGAGCGGCAGCGGTGGTGCGGCTGGACGGCGCGGTCGGAGGGGCGGGGTTCGGTGGCGCAGGCACGGAGACATCGGGAACCGGCACCTAATCGTCGGTCAACTCAACGTGCAGAGCCTTCTTCCCAAATTACCGGACGTCCGTGCCGACATCGACTCGCGTTTCTCTTTCGACGTGCTGCTGCTGAGCGAGACATGGCTCACGGAGCGCATACCGGACCGTCTGCTCAATCTCAGCGGCTACAGACTCGTGCGCAAGGACCGGCCGCGCGGTGGCCGTCTCGCGAGACGCGAGGGGTCACGGCGGTGTCGCAATGTACATCCGAGAGTCATTTGAGATAGAGCCGCTCCCTACGCCCGCGACGGGTATACGCGATTCCAATCTTGAGGCGCAGTGGGTGGCCGTGCGCGTGGGAAAATGTCGACGTCTACTTATCGGGTCCTTCTATCGAGTCCCAAGAAACACCAGCCAACAACTGACAGCCGATCTGGACGATCTGGAGGCACAGCTGCAGCATCTGATCGCCGCGCAGCCCGGACTGACGGTGATAATCGGTGGTGACTTCAACTGCTGCCTCCTCAAGACCGCGAACAACTGCTGCAGTCCAGGGAACCGTCTGCGCTCACTCCTCTGTCAGCACGGACTGCAGATATGTAATACCACTGAGCCTACCTACCGTCCCGCCGGCAGTCTCCTGGATATTATGGCCACAAACCGGAGCGATCTCGTCACTCGAGCCGGCGTCACCAGATGCCACTACGGATCGCCACATGACTATACCCGCCTGGCTCTCCGCCTCACCGAAGACAGGGTCCGAGCCGGACCCGTCGTCCGGCGAAGGTGTTTAGCGAACGTAGACAAAGGACAGTTCAACCGACAGCTGTTGAACGTCAACTGGGCGTCCGTCTACACCGCCGCCGGACCTGAGGAGAAGTGGACCGCCTTCATCAACATCTTCAAACCACTTCTCGACTTGACGGCGCCCGAGAGACGCGTCGTTCTCCGGCCGGAGGGGGCGCCACCTGTCTCCCGTGATACCCGCCACCTACTTACACAGCGACGAACTGCACTCTCTGCGGCCGCCACCAGGAGTACAAAGAGCTGAATCGGCTGTCACGCGCGGCCATTCGAGCTGACTGTCGGAGAGACCTGCAGGAAAAACTGCACAGGAGCGGTCCCGGCAACATGTGGAGAGTTCTCCGGCCCATCATCGGTTCTAAGAAGTCCTCGTCAGGCATCAGCCGTATAACCGCTGACACACTGAACGAGTACTACACGTCGGTGGCTCGAGACCTAGCCTCCACCTTACCTGCCCCGTCGAAGTCGGTCCCCATCAGACTGCCGAGGGTTACGTCTGGAGCCCTGAGAATTCAGCCCGTCAGCATGGAGACGCTGTGGACGATAGTACAGGGTATGAAGCCATCTACCTTCGCCGGTGACGACGGCATCAGCGTCAGGATGATGCAGGACTTCTTCCCCGGCCTCGGTCACATCATACATGATGCTGTAAACGCCAGCCTCTAGACCGGCCAAGTACCCAGCGCATGGAAACGTGCAATCATCACACCAATTCCGAAGGGGAAGCAGGCACCATCTGATCCGTCGGGCACGCGCCCAATCTCGCTGCTACCGGCCATCATGAAAGTGACCGAGAGAGCGGCCCAACTTCAGCTCACATCATACATGGAGTCACATCACCTACTGAGCGAGGCGCAGCACGGATACAGAAGGCAGCATTCGTGTGAAACAGCTCTTCACGTGGTGACAGACGACATACTCGGAGCGATGGACAGAAGTGAAATCACTCTGTGGGCTATGGTAGACCTGTCAAAGTGTTTCGATATGGTACCGCACGATAAGCTATTAGAAAAGCTGTCTCTGTACGGAATAGACACTTTTTGGATCAAACATTATCTGGAAGGACATACCCAACAAGTACAACTTACAAATAGTGCTCTTGGATCCGTATCTCGATCGTCTATCAGGGAGAATTCGGTTGGCGTTTACCAGGGCGGATCGATGAGTTGCGTTCTCTGGTGCATATTTGCCAATGACCTGTGCCTGCACGTTCCAGACTCAGTGCGCATAGTTCAGTTTGCTGATGATACACAGATATGGACTAGTGGAAAGAGACGCGACCTACCTGCCAGTGCCCTGGTCAGTCGGATCGAAACTGCTCTGCAGTGTTTGTTTGACTGGTTCTGTCACCATGGAATGAAAGTGAACGCTGCAAAAACTGAGTTAATGGTATTTGGGAGTAGACAATTACTTGCTCTTACTCCTGATGTGTCTGTGAAATTTAATGCATCGACCATTCGAGCTACCAAAGAGGTGCGAAATCTAGGCGTCATTTTTGATCGAAACTTGTCTTTTCAGTCTCACGTCAGCCTGATCGTTCAAAAGTGCACAGGAATGCTGCTCGCCTTAAACAATGCAAAACATGTCCTGCCTCGCGGCACGATCAAGTATCTGATCGACGCGTTGATGATGTCAGCGATGCGGTACTGTCTGTCGGTGTTCGGCGTATGTGGTCAGACGGAGAAGCGTCGGCTACAAAAGCTGGTAAACTTTGCCGCGCGAGTGCTGAGCGGGCGACGCAAACATCAGCGCGTTGCTGACGTCATTTGTCATGTCAGATGGCTCACTGCTGAGCAGCTTATTCAGTACCACAGGATTATGTCCGTACATCGACTTGTGACACACCGTGTGCCAGCGGTGCTTGCTGAAACCATTGGTCCCCCAGCGAGCCGGCTGCATCAGCACGACACTCGAGATGCCGACAGCTTGTCACTGCCGAGCATACATACGGAGGCGGGGCGGAATCGGCTGTGCTATAGCGCCGTGCAGGGCTATAACAGCGTGCGCAGAACGCAGGGCACTGTGAACAGGGCAGCCGTGAAAAGACACCTGACGTCCGAGCGGTCGGCGTCCGGTAACTGAATAATTTTAGATGTTCCTATGTAACTGGTGCTCTTTATCTTCTTTTAGTTCATTTTAACCTTTTAACCCTGTTTACGTAGCTGCGTGTGAATGTTTACTCATGTCTTATTTTGTGACGTGCGGAAGTGAAAAGCCACACTTTTGAGTGGACCTTTTGTGAATAAATATCTATATCTATATCTATATCTATACCTCATCCTGTCCTGACATGGATTCCTTTTCCTTTCTTCCAGGTGGGTATACTATACATGGACTGAACATCAGAAGACTGGACTGCAAAGTCAAGTCAAACCAAAATCAGCATGAGTTCTGGGGATCTTACGGCCTCCATGTGACATGTGCACTGTGCAGTGTGCACAAGTGAAGCTGGCATCGACTGACAATTGACCATGAATGTTTTTTTTTTAACTAGGACTTAGGTACAAAACTAGCCTTGGACTGCAAATGCCTGGACCAGGAATAAAAGACCAAGCCACTGACAAGACAATGTTTCATGTAGCTCTTAAATCATTATCTTAAATCTCGACAGACTGAGTTGATGTTCCTGCATTATATTGACATGTGTTGATCAATAACCAATTGGTGGAATAAATGGAAGCCTGAAATAGTATTCATTAACCCATTAATGACCAAGCATATAAATACGGCGATATTTGATGTTTCGAATGGTGTTCCGATGGTTTTCGACGTCCCTGATTCCAGCTGTGACATTGGTTTTACCCTAAAAAAATTCGAACTTGGTGAAAAATTATGTTCCCATTTGGGAACATTGGGCTCAAATGGGGGTAAGAGGCGTAGGCATTATGGGGATAGAAAAGAAGAAAGCAACAGTAGAAACACATATTAGACAACGTTTTAAAGAAGGGCTTTTTCTTCTTTTTGACCTTGTCACTATCAACAATGAGATCGTGGTCTCACTTCACTGATCGACCCTTGTCAACACACATTTTTGACACCCAAAGTCGTTTTATTCTACTCTTACGGTAGAGCGAGACATTTAGAACGATGAATCACAAGCCAGCGATACCAGTTTTCCATTCATCACCAAAGTATCTCACCTGTCGAAGCGAGACATCATCTCAAGCCTGTGTCGCGCACAGTGCCCGTTGCTCGGGATTAGTCAGCAGTGTCAGAGCATCAGTGCATACTGCATATGCATCTGCAGTGCCAGCACCGTGGCGGCAGCCTAGGTGTGGTAGTTCTGGCTGCAGTGGTTATGCAGTCGTACTTGGCAGATGCTACACATTGTACGCGTATTTTTTTGACACAGCTTGCAGCGGCCTTGAGTGGCAGCCGGGACGATGAAGTGGTTTTGTGCAGTTCGGGAGACCACCGTCACCCGGCCGCTGCTGGGTCCTGGTCCGCTGCCGGTGACGTTTGGCGGACATGGCTCTTGTCTCGGGTTTTTAGGAGCTCCAGAGCGACCTCGCGAGTGAACACCAGCTGGTCCACACTTCTCCCGGTGCAGCTGCGGTACATGCGCCAGCTGGCTACTCTCAGTAGACCGAATGCGTTGGTGACGAGCGTGCCGTACCATTTCTTCCACCGGATCACAGGCCTGTAAGCCCCCACCGCTCCGTCCACTAGGTCTACGCCACCCATGTACTGGTTATATTCGTATATGAGGTTCGGCTGCTTGACCGTCACCTTCTTCTTTTCGTCACCCGACCAGCGCTGCACGTCTTTGAGTGGGCTGATGTCCGAGTGATTTGTGACCACTGTCACTGCCCTGTTGTCTCTCCACTTCACGGCCAGCACCCCGTTAGTGGATTGGTACCAATGCTGTCCCCTGGGCGCCTTTTCAGCAGTTTTGTTGTCAGGCAGGGGACACTTCTTCAGCCTGTTGTCGCGCACAGTGCCCGTTGCTCGGATGCCTCTTTGACGGAGAGCTATCATCAAGGCATACGATGAGAAGTAGTTGTCAAAGAACACATGGTGCTGGGCAGGCGTCTGAAGACATTCCAGGAGCCGGAGGACGACATCTCCGCCCAGCCCAAGAGACTCGCACCCTGCTCTGCCCTCACCTGGCCCAGCGTTCTTGCCTGTGTACATTTCTACTTGGTATGGGTAGCCATCAGAAGATGCCAGCACCCACAGTTTGAAACCGAACCGTACGGGTTTTCCTTTCATGAACATCTTGCTAGAGTGGCGTCCGAAATAAGGAACCATCTGCTCGTCAATGCTCAGTTGAGGGTGGATAACTCCGAACTGGAGAAGAACCCGGTTCAGTTCCTCAAATAGCGGTCTCACCTTTGCGATTTTGTCACCGGTGGGCAGGTGCTCGTTGTCAGCAAAGTGCAGGTAGCGTTTGATCAACTCGAACCTGTTTCGAGGCATCGTTTTTCCTATTACAGGTACATTGACATCTTCACCTTTTTCCCAGTACATGCGTTTTGCCGAGGTAGAGATACATATCCCGTAAGGAACATGATGCCGAGGAACTGGTCAAGCTCCTCTCTTGTCAGCTGGAAGACTTGATCGTTGTTCTGTCTGGCGTATCGATTTGTTTCTGTGATAATCATGTTGCATAGTTGATCATCCCAGTACATTCGAAATACTTCGATTGGTGTTTTGCTCTGCAATTCTGGGTGACCGGTGGGAAAAGCAGGCACCTCCTGGCTTTCCATTGGCTCGATTTCTGGGCGGGCTCTCCATCTCGGCACATCTGAAGCCCTTGTAGTACGTGCAGACGGACGGCCCGTCAGTTTCGATGGACCGGCACCCGATGGACCGGCGGGACTGTCGTCTACGTCAGCAGCCGTGTGAATCTCCAGCGTACCGGCTGTTTCTGTCGGTAGGGATTGGATTGATTCCAAATTGTCCTCATCTCCGAACTCTGTGTCGGACACTTGCTGATCGCCACCTTCCGGTGGCAGTATTACCAAGTCCAGCCCTTCATCGTGGTCATCACTGGCAACAGCAGCGATTGCCTCACTCAGCAGGCGCACAGATCTTCGCGCCATGGTCAGGACGATAAGTCACCACCCGTCACCTCTGCTGTGCATCACTCCCCGAACGCACTTGGCAGACTGAGAGCTTCTGTCTCGGGCACCCGAGGTGTGTTGAGTGTCGATACCAACGACCCTACTCCATTCGCTGACATTGGCGCCGACGGATATGACACTGCTGGACGAGACGACGCTCTATCATCCGAGCATCAGTAACGTGAGCGATACTGTCACTTGACACACCGGGTGTAAGACCTAGCGTGAGAGCAGAACCAGCCAGAGAGGACGTGCAAATTGAGTCAGTGGAAATTGAGAACAAGTGAGAGTGAGAGAAAGAGAGGGAGGGAGGAAATGGGAGATGGAGAGAGAGAGAGAGAGAGAGAGAGAGAGAGAGAGAGAGAGAGGAGAGAGCGCGAGGAGAGGGAGAGCGCGAGGAGAGAGAAAAAGAGCTTCGCTTTTGCCTTCCAATGTCAGTCCATTATGAGCTGACCTATCAGTGGATGTGCCCAATGTTCCCATTTGGGAACATCCAAATTTTGGAAGCCCCCGACGCTTTTGTGATGAAGCATTTCTTTTGATATTTCTCCCGTAGAATTGGAACTTATTGTTAAAGCATTACTGGAAATTACAAGGAAATCTATCAACAAATCGATTTTAAGGAAATTATTTTCTTGATGAAGGTACAGTGTAGCAAAAAAGGGCTATTTCGAAAATCAAGAGAGGTGCTTTATAAGGGTGAAATTCGAGTTTTTTAGGCTGCTAAATTTTGTTCAGGGCTTCAGATACCAGAACCAATATTCACAATCGCTGTGCGATCCTAGGATCAGAGCCTAGAGCCAAAATTGTCGATGTTCCCAAATGGGAACATTGGGCACTAATGGGTTAACTTCTGTGATTAATAATACCAATACTGGAGAGTGGCTGGGGTGAGGGGCCAGTCCTTTGTCCTTTGAACTGGAACGGGCAGCAAAAGTTGTGGTCCTTCTCAAGTCCTACCTCGATTTTACTTTCTGAAAATTGCAGCACATTCAAATGCAAACGATTCAAACAGCACACGAATGGAAAGCAGACGAACGCAATCGATACACCATATACATACACGCGAGGAAACGAGAGACGAGATGACAGGAGATGACAGGATATCACAAAGTTCGGGCCCGGGCAGTCAAATACTAACCATCAACCATCAAAGGCCATGTAAAATCTGTGACGTTTAAAAACAAGTAGCCTTTTGATGGCTATTCGCAAGCATCAAATCTAATTTTTCAAGATTTTGATTGGTTCCCTCATACATGACGTCATTATTACACAAGCAGATCAATTTGTAAAGGTAGTCCCTGGAAATGGCCTACAGTCTTGATAAGTACATGGGATACAACGCCACTAATTGAAAGATCTCCCGTTAGGTACAGGGAGGTATTTATTCGCTCCCTTCGCTCCCAGTTCCATAGAGCACAAAGGAAGCAAATCATGTGAAATTTTAGGAAGTGATCGCAAAGTAGCTATGTAAATTTACCTATTTAGACAATTTCAGCGTTATCTAACACGTATTTTGCTTAATATTGGCGACACAAACGAAAATGGCAGCGTTTCGCTTTCTTGCATTAGTCTAATGAAACTCAAACTACAAACATAACAGAGCACTTAGATCAACAAAAATGGTCTTGATTAACAGGAAAATGCATGTCAAACATTCTGGAACCCTTCATCTTGCTATTTTTTGTCGTTATCAATCCCAATTTTTGCCTGAGATCCGAAAAACACCCAGGCGCACCCAAACGTTTATCGCGTTTTGTGGCAGGTTGGATGCTACTTAAACTTAATGATTGTTCAGTAATGTTAGTTAACATTATGTCTGCGATCCTAGAAAAGGTTTTTGACCTGATAATCACGGGAAATCAAATAAATTTGATACCTGTATGTAATCGATGCAACTATAAATTGGGGATCGGTGACTGTGAGATCTGCTGACTCCGATTATGCCGCAGAACAGACAATCACGGAATGTTTATGTTAGAAGGCGGCATCGCCGGATCCTATACATTGCCTTTGCCGCATAGCATTATCGCATTCGAGGGAAGAGGCGTTATTACTTGTTATTACTTATCTCTCAAGCCTATCTGTGCGAATCTTTTGAGTCGGCGGCTAGTTCCATGCTGCAGCTGCACTTGAGGTCGGAGTGGTCGCACTTGAGCCTTGAGGTGTTGTACCTAATCAACCAGTCCAGCCAGTCCTAACCTGAACTGAGCCAACCTCAAGCACACTGACGACAGCACAGTTCAAGTTCTAGTGACAGATTGTGCATGCATTGCAGGTAATTGATAGAAAAATTCTGAAGTTGAAGGAATTGCAAGTTAAAGTTAAAGGGTAGTCGTAAGACAAAGTTTAAGTTGGGGGTTTTTGATTGAGAATTGATAGGGGAACCAATCCTTAATGCATTGTTCATTGTTCTGAAGTGATGTAGGTATTTTCACCTTCAAAGTGGTAACCAAATGTTTTTTAATTCAAATACTAAAGAATTTAGAATTGTTAGAATTGTGTTCTGTTTCATTGGAGATGATGTCAGTCAGACAGCTGACAGTTTGACTGACAATGCCGGACCGTCAAATAGAACTGATGCTATCTGCTATGAGTTTTTGTATTGAAATATCCAATAAAAATGTTATTGTGGCCAAGCAGTATTTGTGTACTAGTTATGTTTGGTATACAGTACACACTACACTGCATAGCACTGCATCAGAATGTAGACCACCATATCTAATCACTGTCACCCTGACAGATGTATTATGTGGTGCCTTGCCTTATGCTACTGAAGCTTAACATCTATGATTCCATTTTGTATTCCCTTTCATATTGTGCAACTGCATTGAGATGTGTGCCTTGTAGGTTTGTAAAGCTGCTAAGGACAATTTTGTTAAATATTAACAAGTGGTTCTAAATCAGAATAGGTAGCAGAATAGATCTAATTGGATTGCCTCATACTATAACCTATCAAACAGCTGAAGAAAGATATATTTGAATTTTGAAATGTGTTCATTGACATCATCAAGGGACATTTTCAATTATGAAAGTACATTTTCATGTACTTTCATGGTCCTTCCTTACCTCACTGTACCTACCTACACCTTTTAGCTGGTACCTCAACCTGGCTGCAGTATGATTCAGTCAGTTTTGAGCAGGTACCTGTTAATTTTTTTTTTTAATTTAAGCTGTACCTACCTGTACAATTAGACATTAGTTGTGATGTGCATTTTGTTATCACAGACACAAATATGAACAATCTGTTGTCTTCAATGTCCTTTATCCTAAGACACTTTATATAAAAAAACATAACTTATATTTTCAGTAACATTTTCAACTGATGCAACTTTTAATGAGTTGCATCGGTTCTGCCTCGCCCTTGTTTTGATTCATACTGACAAGTAGTGGTATGAAGTTGAGAAACCAAACTTTATAGCCACTCAACTTTGATAACGTGCAATTATTCTGCATTGTTTTTTTGTACGTTACCACAAGCTTTAAGGTAATCCACCCAATACCCATTGACTTAACCTTGGACATCATTGACTTCAAATTCTTCCCTTATTTTTGTCACTCCTTTTGGCAAGCAATACCTACTTGCAATTCAACTTGTTATTGTTCCCCTAGTTAACATTGCCATATGTAGCATTGTGACAACAAATGAATTTTCTCATTTTTACATTTACTGCCTGATTATTTTTGCTCATGACAACCTTAACATTTCAAGTGCTTGAATTACATTGTCAAATGTCATGTGGAAATCGATCTTTTCCCCATTCTGTTGAACTTTGTCCTGCTTAGCATTTTCTATGGTAGGTCTAAGGTCATCACTTGTCCCAGTTGGTGACCTCAAAAGCAGTGCAAAGCTGCAATAAAGAGGAGAAATGCTGATTTGGTTCGTCGTGGTGCGTATTTTTAATCTCCAGAAGCTTCTGTCACTCTGGGCTATCCTGCTTCCTGCTTTCCTGTTTTCTGGAGTCTGGAGCTCCTGATCTGATCTTCGATGTCGACTCGACCTTCTCCGTGACCAGTCCGGGCTCCAGTTCCTCCATCCGGACCGGAGCAGTCCTCGTCCGCTGGCGCTCCTACTGCTGCATCCTTCGTGTTCAGGCTCCGATCCACCGACCTGAGACGCCGTCGATCGTGCAGACTGCAGAGCCATGCCTCGGTACGGTCCAGGTCGCCCTAAAGTGTCCCTGAAGGATTCCGATCCTGTTGCCTGTCGCATCTGCGACAAGCAGGTCTCTAAAAAGAATTTGAGTCGTCACGCTGCTGTACAGCACAAAATCGGTGAAAAAAGCTGCGGCTGTTTGTGTCCAGGTGCTGTAAAGAGCAGGAGAGAATGAACAGGAGGGCAAGGGTGCGGGA